CAACACATTAACAGGAAATGGGATGAAATCTGTACGATCTTTTTACAGACGCAAAAAACAGCATTTGATAAAATTCAACAACAATTTTGGATTTAAAAAAAGACAAAACAGTAGCAACACATCCCTTAGTAAGATCACTAATGTGACAAACACACTAAAAGAATTCTCACTAAAATCAGGAAAAAGACAAGGGTACCTGGAGTATCCCTATTCTCCAATCTTATTCTGGAAATACAATGCAATTAAAAAAGAGACATAAAAAAGCAGAAAAGAAGTGATGAAATTCTTATTATTTGCAGCTAACATAATATATCTGGAAAACCAAGAAAACCAACTGCAAAAACTAGTTGAAACTAAGATTATATAAATTACTAGTTTGAAAATTAATAAAAACAACTAGTAACAATATATAATATAAGAAAACATGCTATTTTCCATAACAACAAAAAGATAAAATAACCGGGAATAACCTTAAGAAACATATAGAATTTTAAAACTAACTTTAAAAAGACATTTCTGAGTCAGAGAAATGTGTATGTGGATGTATATTAAATAATATTTAATTACAGATAATAAATTGCTAATTTGATACAATATGACAATAGCTTTGGGGTTATATGTATTTCAAAAAGCCCCTATTTGTTCTCAAGATATATTGTGAATTATTTATAGATGAACTAGTTTGTTTTAAAAGTCTAGTTCCCAACCACACCAAAATGAAGGAGAGAAGGAAGAGATGATTCAAGACTAGCAAACGATGGAAAACTGTGGAGACAAAGTGATGGATACCTAGAGGTTCATTACAGCATCTTCCCTACTTTGCACATTTGAATATGCACGCAACAGAAATTCAAGAAAACTTAGGGGAGGTCCCAAAGGGGGGTCATGAAAAACGTAAATAATCCCAAAGATGTGTAATGGGCTTATAAAAAGGCACAAAAATTGCCACCTAACCATTAAGAAACTAAAATTAAAGCGAAGTTATATGTCATCTTCACCAGTTACGTAGAAAAGATCAAAATATCTGGTAATATTAAATACCAGGGGGAGGCAACTGGCAGTACTGTATGCATCAGCGCAACTGCTTGGGAGGGAACTTTGGCCTTCACCCTTCAAAGTCATAAACACACTTCCCTCGGCCCAGAAATTCCACTTCCAGGAATTTATTCTAGATAGTCATTCGACAAGCATTATCTCCCACCTACTTCGTGCCAGGCACTGTCCCTGCTCTCACAGGGCTTCCCTTCTTATGGGGGAGACTATCAATAAAGCAAGTCAAGTGTGCAGGCAATTACACCCTCGGCCAAGGGACAAGTGTGATGAAGAAACAAGTAAACCCAACGGGGGCGGGGCACTAAGGCCATCTCCAGTGTGCTAGTTTGGAAAGGCCCCTCTGAAGACGTGATAGGTGAGCGGAGACCTGGCTAAAGGAGAGTGTTCCAGGCAACAGGGAAGGAAGCCATGGGGTAATACACAAATTTGGCCTTCCTGCCCTCTGCTTTTCGTTTTATTCGCATAACAGCCTTTTGTTTACCCAAAGGATAGGAGCACGACTTGAATGTCTCTCTTTGTCCTCAACTCAAAAATAAAAATAATCAGATCCTTTTAATACAGTACATCTGTCAAAGAAGGTGCCAGGCCAGCACTGTTTCCCCAACATTATTGTGAAACACAATCTGATTTCTTCAAAGGAAGAATTCCCAATCTGTCTAACTGTTGCACCAAGCCCGTTCATGAAAGTGCATTAAAGCCAATCATGAGTTTTTAATGCAGATAAATCTTTCCACAGAGAACAGATTAGTTTCACAAAAAATACTGACCAGTTGCTAGATAATTTTACACAAAAGCAAAAATACCATCAGTCCCTGACCTTCTGGCAGGACTGTTGACCACTAACTTAGCAGAGTATATGGTTTGATTCCATGATCTTTTGGGCAATGAAGTTGATATTTTTAGGGGCTATCTGGGTAAGTATTTTACACTGAAGTAGCCAGTGTCAATTGGGGCATGCCAACTGACCCCAAAATAAATTACTTTGCTACAACACCTGAGAACATTACACATTTTTCTCAAGCAACACGAAGCATCAAGACTTCAAAACTGCTAAGAGTGATACAAACAGCCAGATAATTAAGAAACCAGCCTATGGGGGGAAGAGTTGCCCTTATGAAACATGCTCCTTTCTCAGCTGTGAGATCAGATTAGCATAAACGCATTCATCTCTCCAAAGGAAGCCCACAAATAACCATTTGACTTCGGGACCGGATGGAGATTCCCAAGGAGACAAATTCCGTGGGCACATTCCACGCAACGCCAGCCAGCTGCTTGGCGAGCGCCGGGCTTCCGCCCAGCAGCGAGGACACGGCGCACCCCCCAGCCCTGGACGC